CGGGGGCGGTGTGGGACGTCTGCCGCGAGTTCGCCCCGCAGGGGGTTCGCGTCTTCGACAAAGTCACCGGCGAGGGGTTCTGGCGGAAACTGCAGATCCGGCATAACACGCTGGGCCACGTGATGGTGGATTTGGAGCTCGACCAGGACAGCCTCGATGAGCCGCGTTTCGCGGCGATTCGGGCGCGTTTGGAGGCGGTCTTGCAAGGGCCCGAGCTGGCGGCTCGCCTGGAGGCGGCCTGGGCCGCGCCGACCGCGCGGGTGGTGAGCTTGCAATCCCACAAACACACCGGGATTCGCTCCCTGGAGGCGGAGGCGCCGCGGGTGGTGTGGTTTGGATCGCCGACGCTGACGGAGCGGTTTTGTGGGCTGCAGTTTGACATCGCCCCGACCGATTTCTTCCAAGTCAACACCCCGGCGGCGGAGCGCATGCTCGAGCGGCTGGCGGAGGTGGTGGCGCTTGGGCCGTCGAGCACGCTGTTGGATTTGTGTTGTGGGGCTGGGACGATTGGGTTGGTGTTGGCGCGCCACGTCAAAAAGGTCATCGGCGTCGAGTTGGTGCGGTCGTCCGTCGAAAACGCGGAGCGGAATGCGCGACGAGAGGGCATTGCGAACGCCGTCTTTCACGCCGGCGCGGTCGAACGGCTGCTGCCGGGCATTATTTACAATTTATCCCCAGAGGATCGCACGGATATCATCGCGATTTTGGATCCCCCGAGGGCTGGGGTGAATAATAGCGTCTTGAAGTGCATCCGCGCAACCTCGACGATTCGCCGTGTGGTCTACATCTCCTGCGAGCAAAAAGCCCTCGAGCGGGACTGCGCGGGGCTGATGAAAGGCGAAACAAAGGCCTACCGCGGCGAGCCTTTTGAGGTCACCGCCTCCTTCGGCGTGGATTTATTTCCACACACCCAACATGTCGAAATGATTGTCGTGTTAACTCGACGCGAGCCGACGGCGGCGGACACCGAAGCAAACCCGGAGGACCGCGAACCGCCGGAGGAAAGCTCGCAGGTGGGGGAACCAAATACGGAATCACCCACAACTAGTTAAAGTATCCCCCAATTCTTAAAATAATAAAAAAAAAGATCTACTAATTGTATAAAATCCGAAGCACCTTTTCGTGCGTTTGGTATCTCAATCACCCTGGTATTCAATGACTAAACATGATATGGACTCGAATTGTCTTTGCCGCTCTATGTTTCTTTTCTTTATTTGTGGTGGTGGTGGATCCGAGAGAAAGAGTATTCGTGTGGAGCGAGAAGACTAACAAGGATAATTCTCCCTCACACTTACCATATTCTAAACAATTTCCACATAACTCCCCCCCCCCCCCCCTCCTCCCCCAGTCATGTCTAGTTGGGCCGACAAGCTCAAAACGGAAAATATTCCGCCCTCCTCCGACCCCGACTGTGAGCCGAAGGTCGAGTCCGGGGTGATGTTAGCGGAAGGGGCGACCCCCCCTCCCAGTCAGGCCTCAGTGGCGCCCGCTCTGGAGGAAAAACGGCCCTTTTCGACCCCCGCGGACGAGCCCCCGGTGGTATCCTTTGTCGAGTTCGGCCCCGTCCTCCTCGCGGCCGACCTCTCGGCGTTTATTTCGACCCAATTCACCTTTGACG